TTGTATGTTGGTGGCTGTGACGCCGAGAATGAGTTTGTTTTCCTGAGAGCTGTACGTTACGCTGCGTTAACGCAGGACTTGTGCGGTGAAACGATGGCATCAATAAGTAATAACAGAGCAATCGCTATGTTTTTCTTGCACTGAAGGCAAAAATCTGCTTACCTTTGGGGCGTCTGCCCTTTTAGGATGTTGCTTGTGCTTTACCCGCTTTCATTTCTATAGAGTCCCAGTTAAGCTAAGCTGCACATAAACTGTAAAAATAAGTTTCTTTACTTTGACTTCGTATGGAAAAAGGAGGTTTTGAGAGCAACGCACTCTAAGCTGAGCCTTACATTTCACTCTACTCTGAACAGCAAGTTGGTAAAAACTGGCTTCTGGGTCTCACTGTTTCCATCACCGGTATCTTCAGGATGGAAGTACAAAGCTACCTGCTTTATGGGTTTTTCAGGAGTTATATATATAAGGCAAATGCAGCTTTGATGAGAATTTTTGCCAGCAAGTGTAACCAAGGCAGGGAGCTGTTCCGTGGGACAGGCCCCAGACTTGCTGAGTTGTCAGTGTACTGTCGTGGGGTTCAGGTGGTTTTCAGTCTGTAACTTCTAGATTGTGTGGCCCAGAATTTTCCATACCTGTTCCCTGGCATGGAAAAATTCATGCAGATGTTCCACATAGCTATTTTTTTTTTTCCTGAGATTTTATATTTCTGCATATACCTGGTACGTGCTTCAAATGCAGAAAGCTATTCAGCTTGCTAGGAGAAGCCATTTATTCCCATTTAGAAACAAATGTAGTGCCTGTACTTGGATGTAAATAAGTGAAGAATTATGGCCAAACAAAAATGTTCTGGGCATAATTACTTCCCTCAGCAGAACTCAAAGTTGGCATCCAATTTCCCCACAAAGAAAGTAAAAGTTGCACCTCTGCATGGACTCTGGCCCAGTTACAATTTTTTTCCTATTGCAGTTTAAGAAGTAAATTGAATGTCTATGTGCATTTATTTTTTCTGTGTGTTGGTTTGGGTTTTTTTTCTCTAGATAACTACCTGATTTTTTATTTATTTGTTGCTGACACTATTTACTCTGTGTTGAGTACGATATGAGTTCTTAGCAGCGTACAAAGCGCCTACGTCTATCCTAATCACCAGAGTCTGCAAGTTCAGCAGGCATTTTGACTTAGCACAAGCCTGGGTAACACTTTTTCTCTTCTGCTGTTTTATGTTACATGAAGGATGTAGTTCAAAGAAAAATGATACAATGGTAAGTGATCCATTACCATGGCTGGCATTGCTACAATCATTGTGTTCTGGAAACAAAATGTCCTTGAAATCCCAGGTCATTACGTTCTTTCAGCATTCATTCTTCAATAGCTGAAGTGGTACAGGCAAATTTTGACTATATTAATCCTTTCTGTTCCAGTGCTTATTCATGCAAAATTTTCTTGCCAGTTAGTAGAATATCTGTGACACAGATAGAAAAAGCTGACATTTATGTTAATTAAAGAGAGACAGCATCAATCAAAGAATAAGCACTTGCTTACCTATGTGAGGCTGTACATCATTTGCAAATGCAGCTGTTCAGATTTGTCCAAGAAAATAGAACATTTATCAAATAAATGTTATTGAAATGGTGGAAATTAAGATGTGGCTTTGTGCAAGAGGGTTTGGTGTTGGAGGAGGCAGTTTCATCTTGAAAGACTTGTTTTCCAGCTCAAAAGCTTCACTTCTGAGATATAGTGAAACTAGAAATGACAGATATTTGAATCAAATAGAATTTAAACAGTAAGCAGATAGGGAATCAACTCTGATGTTAAGCACTTAGCTGCCAACCAAACAGAAATAAAAATACATAAAAATAGCAAAGACCTGGCTGAGTAATTCCAATTTATTCCCAATATATTCTTTAACAGCTGTTCACTGTAAGGGCCTAGTTATAAATCTAGTAGCATAAACATTCACATCCCCTTCTGAACAGCTGCCTTCACTTTGGCCACAACATTTATCTGAGGTAAATGTCTATTTCTCTAGAGATTTTAGAGCTAATTTGCCATGGGTTCACGGTGTATGACACTGCTGAAACACAAGCCACGCTGTCATTCATACCTTTTGTATCCCAGATGTGTCAGTGATGGGTGGGACATAGGGAGGAACCCACAAAGCCTATACTTCCTCTAGTCTGAGATTTTTCTGTATTTTATTGCCAGTCACCACATACACACAAATGTTTTAAATTAGGCTGTGGAGTGAAAGGGTTATAAGATTGTCTAGAGACTCCAACAAGTTTTCTAGCCAACAGTGCTGAATAAAGTCCATTGCTGGAACCATTGCCAAGAAATTCTTTCAAATGGGCCATGAAAAGACCACCCCAGTCTCTCAATCCAGTTCTCTCTGAGGCACTAATCAACTGGAGGCTTGCTGTACTATTGTGGGTGTTTGGCATGTGAATCCTGTCCATCAGGCTTCTCCTCTTGTCTCCTTTCTAAAGCGCAGCAAGTGAAATGTGTAGAGAAGGAGGTCAGACCCACTCTTACGGGATCAGCCTGCCTCACTCCATGCAAGAAGCTAAACGCAGGGAAGGGTGGACACTGTACCTCTGCTCTGGCTGAGTTCTCTTGAGCTTGCTGTTGGCGGGTATGGATTGAATAACAATGGTCTTGGCCGTTGCCATCTTTTTCTGGGGGATTAATGCGGCATGGAAGTTGCAGAGAGCTGTATGGCTGCAGACCCCACAAAGCAGATTTCCTCCTGGAACACTGTTCCAGTGCAGCCCTGAGGTGAAGGTGGCAGGGGCCAGGAACAAGAAACTCGCTGCTGTCACAATAATACAGAAGTTTTGTTAAGTCTGAACTCAGTACTAGGCTTGCTCTACAAGTAGATTCATAGATGCGCTGCGTTCCCTTTGCACTTTGAAAAATAGACCAGATGGAGAAGTCCTTGGGTAGGGAGAAATTGCCCGTGCACATTCCTGCCAGTGCTTGTTGCACTGCCATCCGTGCCAGCTCCCCTGACCCGCCAGCACTCAGCAGCACAAGGGGAAGGGGGGAGAGTGCGAGGAAGGCTGAATGAAAGAAAATCACACTGGAGGAAATACCTCGTCTTCCCCTCTGCTCATGTCAGTCTCAAGCAGTGTTATAAAATCGCTGCAAATTAAAACTGTACCCCCTGCCTGACACTGTGCAAAGAAGAAATGAGGATTTACATCAATTTTCTGTTGTTTTGGACCATGCTTTCAACAGAACAAATGAAATGTTTTGCAATAATACACTGCTAGCATCAAAGAGGTATTTTCCTATAAGCAAGGCAGGAACTGGGGAAACGTAATCTCTGTTATTAGTTCAGACGGAGTATGTGACCATCTGAAGTAAAACCAGACCAGCTTTGGGCACATGACCTCAAAAAGTCTTCATGTGCCTAAAATCATCTTTATTTTCCCAGCCGTATCAGCTTTATTAATAAAAGGTATTGCCTCTCCCAATAAACCTTGCCTTGTTTATAGCCTTAGACCATCATGACTGCAATATTAGCAAATTTCCAGTAACACAAGCAAAACCAGACTTGCCTGTACAGAAATAATCTTGGCTCTCAAAAATCCTTGTATTATGAAAATGTACTGGGTAAACAGCTTGAAAAGGTTTCTCTGTGTCTTACATTGCTGCGTTTCCATTGCACTGCACAACAAGAGACCTGTAAAAGCTGCCGGAGCGCCCTGTGAGCTGAGGCCCTATTATGAGACAACAAGAATTTCCATAATGAAGGTTAGCAGAGAGCTGATGTCACTGTCACTTTTTTCAGTCAACCAGAAACCAATTATCCCTGGCTGACAGGCCCAATTAAATCATTGGGTAGAGGGAAATGCCAGCTATCCTCCCCTAGAGTTAGGTAATTGGGGCTTTACTACGGTCAGATCTGGTGCTGTTTGTTGGGCCACAGGATACAAATAAGAGCCCTTCTGGTCTCTCTCTCCATCTTTTCCATAGGCATTCATGATTTTTCACCCCTAAGAAAAGTAGTTGCATTTTACATTAGAAATGCTAATCTTTTAATGTGTACTTTTATCGAGTATATATATTGGTATATATATTTAGAGTATATCTGTTTTAATACATACTCTGTCATAGTAGGAACCTGAAGGTCATTCTATCCGTTCAAGTTTATAGAGAACACGAAGTCAGGAGTTCTGCCATGAAAGGCCTCAGGTGAAGGC